CTTCCATTTTAAAATACTCAAACACAGGGTACCTCCCAGACCACTTCATTTTATGTATGTGATAACGTGCCAGTATAATAATTAAATTTATTACAATTTTTTTTTATTGTTTTCACTGGGGCTGAAACGTAACATATCTTTTTCAACAAAACAAATATTAATATTGGTCTCTTTTTTAATATAATTCTGCAACTTAGTCCAGAACGTTTTTACCCTGGGACATAACCAAAACAAATGCTGAATACTTTCAGGGCTATTGTCACAAAAAAACACATTTGTCATCTATATTAATTTTAAATTGTTGGGTATTGTAGTCGCAAGTAAGTTATCATTTTTTAACAGGGATCTCAAAAATAGGTTATTACATCCAGAACTCACAATATCCTTTCCTTGTAGTCTAATATGAGCTGTAAATTCTTCCAATGTTTCTAAAGGACTACTATTACAACACCTTAAAAGAGTTAATATTTCCCCAGAAATTGCATTAATTACAGTGTTACGACCCCAAGCGTCTAGGGGGAAAAGGGGTGTAACATTTAGGATAATTCTTTTGGAAGCAGGGGGGGTTTTGGTGAGGGACTAGGAAGCGTGATAAGGGTAAGGAACTAGAGTGGTGCCAAAGAAAAGAAAATAACAAACAAAATGGAGCTGGCTAGGACAGTGAGGGAAAGCTAATCTGACTACAAAAGAAAACCCGAAACACACGGTCTTCGGCGTCTTCAACACCCTAGCTAACCTGCGCTGACTACCCAAAACCATACAAGACAAACGGCGCTCACCCGTACTAAACTAGTGTACTAATACAAAATCAACTAAGTGTGGGAAGTGTACCCAACAACCTAAACTAACCTTATATACAAAAGTTCACACAAAAACACAAGTGAACCAGGAATACAAATAAGGGAAAACAAGAGTAATCAACAGGAGCAGGGTACAAAATAATGCATAAGTTGAACATGTAACACTGGGGCAAGTTAATGACAAAACAAGGAAGAACACACAAACAAATGAAAGTACAAAGAAACTAACGTAAAACCAACAAAACAACAAAGCCGAAGCTATACGAAAACACACACAAAAAGCAAAACAAACCAACAAACGAAGCTGTAGATTAAACTGACCCAGGGACGCCAAATAATGTAGATTAAGCCGGCCCAGGGACGCCAAATAATGTAGAGAAAACCGGTTCAGGGACGCCAAATATGTAATCATAGTGGCTCTCTGAAGGCACCAGTTCTGTAGGGTTTGGGCATTTACTGAGACAATTATTAATTGTAGCAGTAAATCACAAAGTTGATTCTTTTGAT